TCCGTGCGCATATCTGTTGAGGGAGTGATCCCTGCCACCAAACAGGGAAGACTTCAGCCATCAAAAGCCCACCACTGGAGACCAGACTGCTCACAACACTGCTTTCTTTCCCACAGTAGACAACTGGTCAGTCTACATCTGAAAACCAACTTCCACAGCCCTGAATACCACCAGGAGTCTTAAACCAACCCAATGATTCTTACAGTTAAAAGTGATCAAAACCACAGCATCACATCCTATATTGACCACTAGATGGGGGTATGCACTACACCAAAAAGACCACCATGGGCTAAATTGAATTTTTCCTAGTATTCTATACACAGAACCATGGAGTTTCACAGCTGGTGGTGGCAATGATCCTGCCAGGGTAGACACCGAAAATGGGCCATTCACAAAATATTTATTAAATACCTACTACGTCCTAATCTCTCGGTTTAGAAAAATAATGGGCACTGTCTGCCTTCTAGGATCTCTAAGTTTTGTGGAGAAAACACACACACATGTGCACAACATTTCTTAAGCATCCCAGACTCTTTGCCAGGTGCTTTTCAAGCTCTATCTCTAATTTTCAAAGGTTAAGAATTTGTTCCAGTTCATTTGGCAGAGCCAGGATTAAATCTTAAGTATGTTTACCTCTTAAGACCATAGTCTTTCCTCAACACCACCCAGTTCTTCTCAAACATATCACATATGAAGTGAAAGGCTTACACATAAGGTTGGGTGTGAACCAAGGCCACGAGAAACACAGGAGCAGAGCTAACTCTGACTGGGAGAGTCCCGGAGGACATCCCAGGGGAGGTGTTTTTTTTCAGGATCAGTCAGATAGGATTATGGGGCAAAGAATTACAGGGAGAAAGCACTATGTCCTAAGGTACAGAGCTCTGCAAATGCAAGAACCAGCCTTTGGTAAGGGCGGGTAGCCTAGAGCAGTAAGAAGTGTGGGGGAGTGTGTGAGTGGGGTATGGCCAAGGAAGTCAGAGAAGGCAGATGAAGCAAAGACAATTAAGAGCCTCCACATGCACTTAAAAAGTTCAGATCTGTTCCCATGGGCAATGGGAAGCCATCAAAGGTTCTCAGAGGGAGAAAACTTCTGATGTTAAATTTAAATGACCATTTTTTTTTCCATGAAGGGTTGTATATTTATACTTTGGAGATTATACAACTCAGTTCCTCCTTCAAAAAGACAAAAAAATCCTTCCAAACATATGGATGCTAAGTCTGTCCCTTTAATTTTATTCTGTACCATATGGCACTCTGAATTTTTAGAATATAAGTAGATGGATTAGTCTCAAAGATAAAAACTTAGTAACAGATATCTTCATCTGTTATTTGAATTTCTTTTCCACTACAGCCAGTGCTCAATTTATCAATTTAATAAAAGGAAGTGATGAGATCAGATGACAACTTGTGAAGTACTTAGACATGCCCATAATATACTAAGTGCAATATAGGGGTTTGATAAATGCACACAAAGACAGAAGGCATTTGCCATTAATTTCTTAGCTAAACTCCACGGTAATAAAGTGAGTTCAGCCCTATCTCAGGCAGAATCAAAGGATACACACAGGTGCACATGCACACATATCCAGAAAAGAAAATGAATGAGAGACATCAAAACATAGCTGCTATATCAAGCTAAGATACAGTGTCATTTTAAAAACAAAGGTCTTAGGTTTTTAGGAACTAGAATTTACTTCTGCATCAGGTTTTCTAAATAAACTTGTTGTAAACTTTTACAAGAACTTTCCTAAAAGAGCCTCTGTACTGATTGATACATTACTCATACATCAAGGCTGTTTCCAACTAAGCCAAATAAACATCTGGATGAGAACTTTAATCATTTCACTCTTTCCATGTGCCTGGATATTTCAGGTTGATAAGACATGTGGACTCTGGCTACAATTTTGTGTCTTTATCAGATATTTGTCATTAATCAGATATAACCTCAAAGAGAAACCTAACTGGAGAAGGTTAAAAACCATACTGACTGTAGCACTTCAAGGCTTAGGGGAGTTAAACGACATGCCTAATGCCACAGAGCTCACAAGAGGCTGGACAGAGTGTAAGCTCTGCTCTGTCAGATATTTCAGTCTGTTTCCCTTCTACTACGTTAATTCCCTCAATAATGACTTATTTAGAAGATTCGAAAGAATAGAACAAATGACCAGTCTTTCAATATTTACAACTTGTCATGTTTATATGAAGAAAAAGAAGCCAGTAGAAAAGACATTAAGTGACTTGCCCTGAACTCAGCATGTGAAGGCAAACTGGTCATTTGGCCTCAGAACAGAAGGTCACATGCATTTCCACATAGTGGAGACACGCTTAACAAGTGTTCTAGAATGTTATAACTAGAAGGAGCATTAAGTGCCATCTGGGGTATGTGGCCTCATTTTAAAGGTAAATTTCTACATTAAAAGGAACAGGAGAAGAAAAACCAGACCAAAGTTCTCCAATTTCAGTAATTGGGTGGTTTGCTTACATTTCTGCACTTTTATCTATACTTGCTCTAAGCGCTATCTCACATGCTAAAAATGTAAGCTTTACAACGCAGGAACTGAAATGTAAACATTTGAGCTCTGGTTTGGGTAGCTAAAGAAACCAGGCATTTCTCACTGTGACATCACTAAGTTTCAGTTTGGAGTGTTTCAGTTTGAGTGTTTCTCCACCTTGTGGACACTATCAACACTACATCAAAATAAATTCATCACCTTCATCTACTTAGGGTTAAGACTAGTCCAACAATAAAATAAACTCTTTATTACAGGACACACAAATCTCAAAATAACCAGGATTTTTTGGTAGAATATTAAAATGGGACTTGTTAGTGGTAACCTTGAGGCCATGTTAGATACCAAAAGTCTTCTAAATAATAAAAAGATTAAATTACGTGCAACTCAGTAATAGGTGGATATTATTGTTTTTCATGTTTATGGGAAACTAGAAACACAAAATGAGCTCTAAGTGGCAAGATCATTTCATTTTTATCTGTCCATTAAGTTTCCCAACCATTCCAGATAGTGGAAATGTATTACATTGTAAGGGTTTGGTGGCTCCTGTCTTCAAAAACTGTATTACCTACGATGGTTCTAAAAGTGCCAGGCAGAAAACCAAAGCACCTCTATGCCTAAGCTTTTAATTAAGTAAAAGAACAATTCTATTCATACAAGTAGAACTAAGCAAAATTAAATTTTGAAATAAACTCTAGTAGTTATGCTATTTCAATGCAGCAATAAAATGTTGGGCAAGATGGTGTAGTACAGTGGTTAAGGAAAACACCCTGCCCTTTAACAGCTGCAGGGCTTTGGGTGAGTTATTTAACCTTCCTGGGCTTCTGTTTACTTGCCTAAAAAGTGGGGGTCATGATGTCATCAACCTCAAAGGACTGTAACAAGGTAATAAAATAACAAATGTAGTACAGTGTGTGGCACATAGCAGAAGAGTTAGCTATTACTAGAATTATTAAAACACTGACTCACCCACCGGGTTCCTGATCATTATTTTCATGAAAATGAGTGACATGATTATTAGTCCCAGTTCTTCTTATCTGTCATTTTGATTGTTAAAATTTAAGAGGTGGGAACGATCTTAGAGAACTCCTGGGCAAGTCATGTGAACAGATGAAGTCCCAGGTGAGTGAAATAAAGAGACGCACCATAAGTTTACACAGCCATCTGAAAGTGGAGCTAAAAGCGAAGCCAGGCCTCATGCTGCACAAAGTCATAGCATGCTCCACCCAGAAGGTCCCTTAGGCGTCATCTCATCATTCCCCTTCACTTTACATAGGAAGAGATCGAGAAACAGGGAGGTGGGTTTCTTTCTTCATTCATCGTGTTAGTTAATTCAGTGATATTTATAAGCTACTATTATGCACAACACACTGGGGATCCTGTGGGGAGCTGGAAGAGATCGAGAAACAGGGAGGTGGGTTTCTTTCTTCATTCATCGTGTTAGTTAATTCAGCGATATTTATAAGCTACTATTATGCACAACACACTGGGGATCCTGTGGGGAGCTAGCAAGATGATATCCTGGCTTCCTGTGTTTCTTGCTGCAAGCAGGAGTGGGTAGGTAGACAGCAAAGTATAAACGCACAATCAGGAGAATTCCAAATAGTGATAAGCTTTCAAAGGAGCCTGACACAGGGAGGTGGAGATGACTCGGCAGGCAGGCAGGACACAAAATAACTTCAAATTGAAAGGTCAAGGAGGGCCCCTCCAAGGAGGTGCCAGTGAGCAGCAAGAAGGAACTAGCTGGGCAAAGCCCTAGGAAACACAATCCAGGCTGAGAGGCAGAGAGTGCAAAGGCCCTGAGGCAGGAAGGAGCCAGGAGGCGGCTGAGGAATAGAAGGAGCATCTGCAGGGGCCGGCCCGGTGGCACACTCGGTAGAGTGCTAGGAAGGAGCCAGGAGGCGGCTGAGGAATAGAAGGAGCATCTGCAGGGGCCGGCCCGGTGGCGCACTCGGTAGAGTGCTGCGCTTGGGAGCGTGGCGGTGCTCCCGCCGAGGGTTCGGATCCCATATAGAGACCGGTCCGCTCACTGATTGAGCGCGGTGCGGGTGTGACACCGAGGGTTGCGATCCCGTTACCGGTCACGAAAAAAGACAAAAAAAAGGAGCATCTGCAGCAGGAGAAGCAAGGGGAGGAACAGTGAGCCCTAAGAGGCAGGTGGGAGCCAGATCCCACAGGACCAGGAAGGCCATGCTGAGGACTTGGGATTCCTCTTCAGTGCAAGGTTTGATTTAAGGGACTGACAAAACATGGTCAAGTGCCACTTTGGCTACTGGTAGAGCCTTGCAAGTTACTGACCAAACCTGGACTTCCCAGGTCTTCTGACCCATGGCCCAGTAGCATTCCCCTGCATGCCACACAGCCTTTGGCATGGACAGCAGAAACAGGTAGGCATTTTCATTTCCTCAGGAGAACTTAAAGCCATGCAAAAGAGACCAGGCGCCAAGCCTTCTCCTGCTCTGTGAAAAGAGAGAGGCCCCAGGTACTCACCCGCTTGTGATGTCATCAGTCCGGATGTTCTTGCTCAGGACATCCCCATCACTCATGTAGCCAGGGGCGTCCAGGCTGATGCCCTCCAGGTCCATCTCATCCCCTGTCTTATCTGTGACATCCACGTGGCAGACGCTGCTGCCCCTGGAAGCCAGCTGTCTTCTCAGAGGGGCAGAATACACGTAGCGACCCGACTCAGTGTTGATGAACCGGCTAGCATTGGCTCGAGGCGGGTACCCGTTGCCCATCGAGGGAGCATCTCCTGCCTGGAGCCGAGGGCTAGACTGGCCAAGTCTCCAGGACAGAGGAGTAGGTCTCCCTGTCAAGCTGAGGATGCTGCGGCCACTTATCTCCGTGGTGACATTGGTGTCAAATGTAGTTTCCAATGTGCTAAAAACATAAAACCAGCCTGGGTTAGACCCTGATCAGCCTAATATCCCTTGCAGTTTACATGCTCTTTAATTTTTTAGAATTATGAAATATTTCTCATATACAGAATAGGATGAAAACAAAAGGCATGAATGTACTGTGTCTGTTAAAAATGAAAAGGGGAGGGCCGGCCCGGTGGCGCTCTGCTATAGTGCGCCGCTTGGGAGTGCGGTGGAGCTCCCGCCCGAGGGTTTGGATCCCACATACAGACTGGCCGCTCACTGGCTGAGCAAGGTGCGGGCGCAACACTGAGGGTTGCGATCCCGTTGCCGGTCCCGGTCTGGTACGGGCGCGACACTGAGGGTTGTGATCCGTTGCCGGTCACGAAAAAAGACAAAAAAAAAAAAAAGGAAAAAAATGAAAAGGGGAGGCTGCACTTTTGTATCACATTCTGAAAAGCACAGCAGAGACTTTTCCTCCTAAAACATGGTACAAGACACGCACTACCAATATTTTAATTAAATGATCTTAACTATTAGAGTCTTCTTAACAATCCAGGAAGGGAAGGTTCCCACCTGCCCATTCGCTGTAGGATGCTGCATCACAGCTCTGTTTCTTAGGGTAGGACGCACCAGCCCAGCCCAGAGTTCCTAATAGCACATTTCCCATCCTCAGCTCCCTCCCACCTGAGCAGGTGCAGAGAGCCCTAACTGTCTAACCCTCTAACGAACATTTCCCCTAGCCTTTTGCTTCTCCCATATTTTATCCAAAAAGACCAAAAAGATTGGTAAATGCCTGGGCTTGAGTTCCCTAATAAATCATGGAACGGAATCTTTCAGGAGACTGAGCTCATCCTTGGCCATCGGTAAGACCCTCTTGCATTCCATTGTCTCTACAGTCCTGCAGATTCTAGGGGTACAGTCCAGACATTGTCTGTATCTCCTCAGAACTGCACTGGGATTTCCTAACTGAGCAGAGGGAGTGAGACTCCTTCCTGCAGAAGAAACCACTGACACTTTCCCTCTTGTCATAATTGCCATCCCAGTTCAAAGGCAAGAAATCCATCCAGTAGCTGTACCAACATTAAGCCATTTTCAGTGCTTACGGTAGAAAGAGGGACGTTTCATACCTAATCGTAAAGTCACAGGGTCTAGCATTTGACTCCTGGTCATTCAAATACCTAAAGGTTTAGGAGGGCACCACCCTGGAACCCCCAAGTTTACGCTCCTCTGGAATAGCCAATTTGGTGCACTGAGCTGTTTTTCTCTCCCTCTGATCCTGTAAGTGGCCTTGATCCTCATATCGGGCCCTTTGGTTGTAGGCTCTGATCCTATTGACGATAGAACCCACAATGGTTAACCCCGATCTGCCAAAATTGCTGAGGGTGGAGAATCCCTGTGGTCTCCTTGCTATATTCATTTATCAAAGAAAATGAAATAGGAGAAGCAAAGGAGACTTCCGGGAGTTCAGCAGGGGTAACTAGGACTTTTTGTTGATTTTCAAAGCCAAACAAACTGTAAAACCTCGTTCTGCCAAAATCATGAAGGACGTCCTGGGGTTACATCCTCTTCAACTTCTTGCTCAACAATGAAAACAACCTGATAAACGTTTCTAATGTAATCCTAGGTTTCACCCAACTAAATCATACTTTAAACGTGGCCATAAGTTTTTATAAATATTTCCTTATGTGTTTTATGCATGTGCATGACTAACAATATTACAGAGTGTTGCATATCAGAAGACTGGGTAGGAATTCAAGTTATTCAATTTATCACACAGGTCAAATACAGTTCACCTACTTGTTTCAACAGCACAATATAGTTTTGGAAAATGCAAGTTAGGTGAAATTTATATAGAGCTGTTCTACAATATCCTCTGTTGAATGGATTTAGCAACCTTCTGCTTTGGGGAGGAATTTGTCTATACTAATTTTTGTTCCCCATACTTCTCTTCTGCATGTTATATGACATTCTTTGCGAATTCCAGAACATTTGGGAAACAAGGTTATTTATTTCAATATTAAGCAAATCACTTTGCTAGTAGCATGAACACAGGAGAAGCAGTGAAAATCAAATTACCAGCAAGTTCAGTAAAATAATTCACACCATAGATACCTGTGTGTAACCTGAGTTCCACGTAAACTAGACATAGTCTCCTCCAAATTCTGCCGCAGATCAGCAATGTTCTTCACTGTCCGCAGCCGCCGAGCCTCAGGATCTTCTGCTGGAAAGACAAAGATTAAGACTAGTTTGATTCTCTGATAGATCATGAGCGTCAAAATTCTGCCGCAGATCAGCAATGTTCTTCACTGTCCGCAGCCGCCGAGCCTCAGGATCTTCCGCTGGAAAGACAAAGATTAAGACTAGTTTGATTCTCTGATAGATCATGAGCGTCATAAGAGTAGCAGCCATGTCTGTGACCATAACCAAGTTCCAGGCTCAGCGTGTGGCTCACCATGGGTGCATTACAAGAATTTGAGAATGAATGACTGACTGAATGGATGCCCAAAGGAGGTGTTTAATCCAAGGAGAATCTTGGTCCAGGTACCTCCCGACTAACTTGGGGGAGAAGTGAAGCACGTAGTCTGAGATGTGAACACATTTTCACATCATCTCCAATAACGACATCCTCAGGTTAGACCCAATCACATCTCTGGAATCATTTTCTGCCCATGCAAAAGTGTGCAAGGCATACTGTTCTCTCTCACCTGCTGGTGACATATGTAGCTGTCTGCAGGCCCCACTTTACAAAAACAGCTGGCAGTGACTAAAAGATCTGCACTTATTAATCACAGATATTTCTACAGAGAGAGTTCAACCTTCTTTGCTAGATGGGTTATGTCCTCTCAAATTCCAGCTCCTCTACTTATTGGCTATGTGGTTGTGGGGAAGGTGCTAGTCCTCTTTGTCCTGCAGATTCCACTTTCCTAAAACACGCATAGTAACAACACCAATGTCAAAGGACAGTTGTGGGGACAAAACATGATCAGGCCTGGAGATGGCTTCGCACAGTGCCCGCCGTAAGCACTCAGTGCAGGCCAGCACCAGAGCATGGAGCTATCAAGAAACAGCTGGGTTTCTCTGTGGCAGGACCACAGCCTTCCAGTCTCTGAGCATGATTCTCCACAAGATACTCTGCCAAGCAGAGTTCAAGTTGGTGTTAACTTATCAGAGAAATATGCCACACACAAGCTAAAATGCTGCATGCCCTCTAGGCGTAGCCTTGTTTTGGGTTCTCTGGCTATTTTGTTTCATTTGGCCTTACATGGGAAAGAGGAGAAGGGAAGTAACTATAATAACGTTGAAAAGAATTGAACATTTTCCCCCTCAGAGTAATTGCAAGAATGGCTGAGATAACTGAGGAACCACAGTGAAGGGTCTTTAAAAGCCTGTGACCAGTTTCAAGTGTTGAGCAACAAGAAAGCTCCATACAGAACACAGTACGAGTGGAATTTACATGACACACGAAGTAGAACTCCCAACACTTGTCATTAACAAGGCAATAAGCAGCTAAGAAATGTCATAGGATTAACTTTTCTTCTGAGATTGATAGCTTCCTTAGGTTGTTCTCAGCATGGTGGTACCTGGAGGCTGGGGGATGGATTAAACGAAAGATACGTAATTTTATGTAGGAAATTTACTATAGTAATAAACTCTCTATCCTTGAAAATGCAAGTGTTTTCAATTTTCTCCTCCTTTCTAACCCAGAGAAACTTGGAAGGCATTTTTCTCTTATCTGAAAAGTGGTCAAACTTGCATTTCCCACCCAATTCTTTAAAATACATGCATGTAAATATGTGTTTTTTAATGAAAGCAGTGATGAATGTCTATTTTATCTTCCCCTAAGGGACTTGGAGGAATATAATTGCATCTATCTCCGGGCCATCAATTAAATACCTTTTACTGCCAGTTTGGCCACATTTTATCTATGGAAGACTGCCAAAAAGGTACTGATCCTTTGGGCAGCTCTAGACCCTATAGTAACATTTATTATGAAGTTAAGTCTAGGTACAGGTTTTCAAATTACCTCCATTAATTAACTTAATCATACACAAAAAGTATAATAACTGTATTTACTTATCCATGTCTCTATTAATGACATATTTGCCTGTCTTAACTCTCCTTTAGAAATTCAAAGATCTTTGAGATGGAGTTTTGGTAGCCCCTCCACAAATCTGTAAGTACCTAAGAAATATTGATTGTCCAGCAAATGTTTGGTCAGTGTGGGGCTCAAGGAAAGGCATGGACTTTGCATTCCCACAGATAAAGATTTGAATCGTCCACTTGACCTTGGACAACTCACTTACATCTCTGAATCTGATCTGGAAAATGGGGATAAACCGCTCCACCACAGAAGGGTTAGTACACCAGTCAGATGAGATGGCACCTATGATGTACCAGCACAAAATGAGGGCTGACTGATGTGAGTGTCCTGTTCCCTCTTGGGGGTCCTGTTGGGAAATGTCTGCTAGTGTGGAGCCCTACACTACAGCAGATCCCAAGGGTAATGAAGAAACTCAAAATAGTGATCCACCTGCCTTGCTTAGGTGATCACATTCTGAACTGCCAATTATGCCTCTTTGGATGATGGCCTAGATGTAAGATTTCCCCACCAACTCACAGCCTGAACAAAGTAAAAACACAACTGAGCTCCAGTGGAAACAGCAGGGTCCACTCAGTTCATATAGAGATCTTAAAAACTGTGTAAGCTATTCCACGTCTACCTGCAATGATCTTCAATTTGCCAAGGATGGCCCTCTCTCAAGCCACTGGCCAAGATAGATAGAGTGCCACATTCTAACCAAAAATGACTGAGTTTGGAGGATGTCAATGTGTTACAAAGGGAACATGGAAGGAACCCGGGATTTTTACTTGCAAGAGGAAGGCTGAAGGCAGACACTGCTACATAGAAAAGAACGGAAATTGCCTGTAGACTTCAGGAGGCTGAATTACATCCAGGGGGACTGGAAATGAAAGAATAAAGAACTTTATTATCTGTTAAAGCCAGCAAAAAATATGGAAGGGCTGCCTTATGAAGGAACAACCTTTCTGTCACAAGAAACATTCAAGCAGAGGCTGAAAGACAACCCATCAATAAGCTATAGAAGGGATTCATGGACTGAATAATAAGCAGGTGTGTGTGGTTCCTTCTAACTCTACAATCCAAGATGCATTTTTCAAGTGTAATGCTATGTACATGACAATGCACCAAGGGAAAATCCACCTGTCTGCATAAGCAAGAGGAAGAACTGAGCAACTCATCAAATAGTCTCATAAATGTCCATTTCTAAATACACCTGTTCACTGTCATTTCAGGGGATAAGCTGTGGGTAGGTTAAATTCAACCTCGTGCTACTGTTCAGTGTCTCCATAAAAAAAAATACCCAGCACAGTCCCACAGGTGATTTCTACTGGCTGGATGTAAAGATAAGTCACCCTCACCGAGGAATATTCACTAGCAACCAGTACCATTTGATTTAACACTGAAGAGTGCATGATCAAGCACTACCGGCTGCACAAGTCTGCTCCCAAAACCAACTGACAGCATCTCAGGCTTTCTGATCTCTTTCTTTCTGTACAGTCCTTGTGCAGAGGAGACTTCAGGAGAAAAAGAGAAATTAAGAGAAGATCACAGGCTGCAATCTGTCACTCTGAAATCTAAGTAATATATAGAATCTTCTCTGGCTGCTGCTTTTGCTTTTCAAATGTGGATTTTGGTGAGACTCAATGTCTGACATGAATCCACACTACTCCACAGGACACACATCTAATCCACATCGGACTCTGATGCGCTGGCCTGGCTCTTTGATGTGTGCATATAAGAACACGATCTGGATTGTGTGTGGAGACCTGAGCAGTCATCTGAACTCCACACCCTTCTCCTCATAGCCAGTCCTTTTCCTGTGCTATCCATGCTTTGCTTTTCAAATGTGGATTTTGGTGAGACTCAATGTCTGACATGAATCCACACTACTCCAGAGGACACACATCTAATCCACATCGGACTCTGATGCGCTGGCCTGGCTCTTTGATGTGTGCATATAAGAACACGATCTGGAATGTGTGTGGAGACCTGAGCAGTCATCTGAACTCCACACCCTTCTCCTCATAGCCAGTCCTTTTCCTGTGCTATCCATGTACTCACATAAGAAGGAAACAAAATTAATCCCAAATGTGGGACTCTGAACCATTCTAAGATGAATCACTTAACAAATGGCTTGAAAAATCTCTGCACCATCACTGTGCCCAGCCAGTGAAACCAGAAGGAAACAGTTAAATCACCCAGATCCTGTGAAATTAATACTCAGAGCTAATGGTGAGATGGGTGAGATTCAATCACATGGGCCGCAGAACAATTCCACAGCTGTCATGTGGCTATTAAAATGGCGTGGTCATGGATATTTAGTCTAATAAATGGATTTGTAAAATGGATTCAATTTTTAACCCAACTCTGGAAGTGGTAAGATGAGAAAAGAGAAAAGTGACACAGCCACTGCTAATTATGTGGCTTACCACCCATTTCCGTGATTAGAAGCTGCTGGAGCACAGGACGCAGAGTTGGGGAAAGCGGAAGAGAGATCAGAAGATGGTAGCTTGGAATGCACTGTAGTAAGAATTCTAATTCAGGTGTAATTTTTCTTCTTTAAATTAAGAATGTGACAGTATGACATCAATAAATAAATGTTTGTAAGATTAACTATATGACAACTGCAAATTTTATCTTAATATATAGTATAGTATCCCTGACATCATCATTGTCTAGGTTGTTTTAATTAAATTTAATTTTTTTTTTGTTTTTAGTAAAAGAAGCATGCTACAACCTTCTTTCCAATTAATCTTAGAGAAGGGTAAGAACACATTTTTAATCAGTGCTTCCATACAGGAATAAAAAAAAAATCCAATCTTTTATAATTCCAAATCTTGTTGAAAAGCAACTTTGATGAAAAACAAAGCAGTCCAGAGCCTCTAAATGAATCCTATTTATTTAAAAATAGGATTTGCCAATAGGTAAGATACTTATTTACAATTCTGGGGAGAAGTGAGGAGATTGTTAGAGGGAAAAGGGAAGAAAGAAGGAAAATAAGAAGAAAAGACAGAAAAAAAGTTTGGCCCATCAACCAATATACCAGTAAAGCAACTTTAAATCAAGCTGAGTTCATGCTGTTCCAGCAGGTGGCTGCATGGGAGGCCTCGTCACCAACACACACAGAATTTCTGGGGCTCCATACTCACCAGTGAGTTCTTCCAAAACAGGCTGTCCACTCTTGGTGTAGTGGCTGGGCTCCATGCTCACACCCGCTGAGCTGGACTCGGCAGTAACATTCCCTTCAGTGTCCGTCTGGGACCTTCGCACACAAACCAAAGCAGACACACTTGTTACGAGAGGCAACTACTACATCTGGACCACTGTGGCCTGACCACAGCACTCACAATCACCTTCTTCAACAAGAAGCTTTAGAACAGAGCAGACCAGCAGACTGACGCTAAATAATTCATCAGCCACATGTGGAGCAATGTCCTAGGAACAGAGAGAGCCACCGAACTGTAAAAGATGAAATATTCATCACTCAAAAGGAGGCTCTGCAATCCCTTGCTGGGGGATGCTTCTCTGAATCCCCCACAGGGAGCTAGGTCTAGCCAGGCATATGCTGGAGGGTACTGGGTGGTTTGGATAATTTAACCTATGCCAAGGAACAACTTCTAAGTAACCAGCAATGCCAGCAAGTCAAGCATGAAGATGACTCCATTGACAACCCCCATCCTGCTTCCCCACCCCAAATCCTCCTGACATGGCTCTCTCTGAAAAAGTGACTGTAAAATCAGTTGAGAGTGGGTGCCAAGCAGGTGTGTTTGCCCTCCAGGTCTCTGATTCAAAGCTTAGATCTCCTGACATGAAAGGTCTCATTGATCGTTATTTCAACACTTGACTGAAATGTGTACTTCCCCAAACCTCCTCCATGCCCTTATTTGTCAAGCAAATTGAGGCAATGGCTTCATGCCATGTCTTCTTGCCGCAGTTACCTCTGCTCAGTTCAGCATGGCATGTAAATGCACAATTACACTCAGATGCATAACCCTCTAACACTATTAATACATTAGCATCCTGAGATAATTCAACCAGATTGCAACGCCTATACAGAAAGTGTTTGCAAGAACGTGGACAGAGTGTGGGGGATGTACTGATAAACCCCAAATCATCCACCTATTCTTCCCTCCTTTACCCTCTACTGAGGCCATCAGTTCCCAACTCCTGTAATTACCATTAAAGGATTTTCATAATCCCAGTGCTCCTCTCCACCCCTGGCCAGAGTCCAAGCTCTCATCATTTTAGCCCAGGCCCTATAAGCACTATGAAACAGGTACTCCACCTCTAGCCTAGAGGTTGCAAATGGCAGCCAGGCATAGGAAACAGCCCAAAGATGTATTCTTATTGGTCTGCATAGTATTTTAAAGTTTTTGAATTAGTTCAACATTCAAAAATTAAAAGACTTCACAAGAAATATCTGGATTTCTGCCTTCTAGTAAAAATAAGTCTGGAAAGTCTGAGCTCTGGTTCTTGCAGGGCGCCACCTGCTGGTGCCAGGTGGTGGCTGTGCTCTCTAGAGAAGCATAGCACTCCCCCTGCCACAGCCCCACTCACCCTGGGCCACCATTCGCATTACCTTTTTGGGCCCACGCAAGCATCTGAATTCATGAGCTCCATGCTAGACTCTTCCTAAATCTGGTCTACTCCCCAGACCATCCTCCACTAATCATTGTAACACTGATGTGATAACATCAGCCTCTGATTAAAGGCCTCCAATGGTTTCCACAGCCACAGAATAAGGTCTGAACTCCTTATTGTGATAAATAATGCCCCAGGTCATGGAATTCTTCCTTCCTTTATTTCTAGCCCTATCTCTTGCCACTCCCACCCTTTATACACAGTTCTCCCCCATGCTTTACCCATATGTGGTTTCTCTCCATTCCCCATCATCCCATGCCCTCAGCTCTTCTGTCTTTGTAGTAACTGCGACCTCTGCCTGAAGGCCCCTCTCCTCCTCCTTGGCTTGCTGCCTTCAACACGCAGCTCCCATGTCATCTTGGTCTGGGAGCCCTCCCTGACTCTCTGCCAGCTGATCCCTCCAGCTCTTGTGTGTTTCTATAGCATCTCCTCATTCTCCTGTTGCCTATTTATTGCAGTGTGATCTTATTAGTAAATATTTCCTCAGATAAAGAGCTCTCTGAAGGCAATGGTTATTTCAAGTTCATATGTTGGGCAGGCACTCAAGAGGGTGTATTGATGGGATTAAATGAGAAATTATTAAGTCTCCAGAGATGCTGGGTACTGGAAGGGACATTAAACTTGGAGCCTGAACATTTAGCTCCAGGGCTAAGGTTCATAACTTGGTAGCTGGTGAATATGAGTTAAGTAACTTCCTCTCTTTAAATCTCAGTGCCCTTATCTGTATGGAGAAGATAACATGAGCAACCTCCTCTGTTTCTACAAAAATTAAACGGGCTATGACACAAAAACAGTAAATTATAAAGTGATAGAGGTATCCACTGTTACTTCTGAACTAATACATATAATTCATTTAAGTGATTTTTTAGAAATGACATCTTTTTTAACATTTCTAACATCTTTACCATTGAGAGGTTCTGGGAAGCATTGCAAGTTATGCACAGTGAGCCACAAACTTGAGAGAGAATCTTAGAGAAGGACGTAAGCACAAACCATTATTTAGAAATCCTCTCATCTAGTCTCATCTCGTTGCTTTACAGATGAAGACAATGAAGATATGCACAGTGAGCCACAAACTTGAGAGAGAATCTTAGAGAAGGACGTAAGCACAAACCATTTTTTAGAAATCCTCTCATCTAGTCTCATCTCGTTGCTTTACAGATGAAGACAATGAAGCTCAGAGAGAGGAAGTGATTTAGAGTCAAGACAGTATGGTGGTTAAGAGCCTGGTCTCTCTAGTTAGACAGACTCGGGTTTAAACACAAGCTCTTCTAGTTACTAGCTCCGCAACTTGGAGCAAAATAATGACTCTAAGCTTCAGTTTGCTCATCTATAGAATGGGGATTTTAAAAGAGCTAGCTCATGGAGCTGCGGGAAGAATTAAATGACCTAAGACATGGAAAGCCCTTGGCAGAGTCTCTGCTCACACTCAGTGCACTCTCAATAGCTGTGCCTGCAGCCAGTGCCCAAGACTAGAGAGGGTGTCGTGAGGAGATAAAGGACAGGGCCCAGGTGTCCCGACCCCTATCCCAGTGCTCTTCTTTCCAGCCTTTCTTCCTTGGCTCACCTGAAGAGGAAGGCACCTCAGGGGCCAGAAGGACATTACCCAGAGTGAGCATTAGCATTAAAGTGGGGCTTGACAGATACACATCCCAGACGTTTTCCTTTCCTCCTGTTTGTCAGACAAGTACTCGTTATCATTACGAGCTTTTCCTCTCATAGAAAAGCTTGAAATAAGAAAAGAGGTTAAATGTTTTACAATCTTTCAAATGATTACAGCCCCCCGCCCCCCAAAGGAAGAAGTGGGATTGCTGGTGATCAAGGACGGTCCTTTATTTTAATTTTGAAAATGTAAATCAAGAATCTGTGAATAGTAGCTTGAATATATTATTACCTTGACTATTAATGCTACTGGAATTATAAAAATTTCATGGGGAGCTATTCAGTCGTCTCCATGCTTCAGAGAACAATTGTATTAAAAGCCATGGATGTCCACGAACTGAGTCATTACCTAAGCCTTGGCACTCTCAAGAGGACTGTTAGCGGAGCTGACGACTTGATTTAATAAAATGATGACTGTCCCCCAATTAAAGAAGATAAGTGTGACCTCATGGAAGAGGAGGGCGAACAGAAGAAAAGGAAAGACGGACTAGGCAAAGCCTGCCATTCCCTCTCTGGCTGAATGCTGGCTGGCTTTGCTCTGAAATCGCTCAAGCTAGGCTCTCCACCAGCTGTAGGCAGGAATTATAACAGAGCCCACAATTCAGGCAGGGAGAGAAGGAATATCCAATTCTTTGGGGAAGCATGTAAACATAGCAAGCTGAAAGTATGGGCATTAGTCTGGTACTTATACAGGTGTATAAATACAGGTATGCAGATGTACATTTGTATTTTATATATGAATATATACTTGTGTCCGTACTTACAGATGACTGTCGATGTGCATCGACACTTATCGGTGTATGAGTGTTGTGTATTTGTGTTGTGTATGTGTACACACTTAGGGTGAGAGCTGTAAAGTAAGTGTCTAGACACTCAACCACTAGCCCCCTTTTGCTATGTACAGGTATTAGTTACTATTCAACAGTGCAGTGTGGCCAAATGCACTGCACATCTCTAGCACAGGATCGAGCTGGGAGTTTCCATCTGCCTGGAGTGGATTCACCCACAGGTAGCATGTAGCACTTGGGAGCTGGTGTGCCCCATTCAGCAGAGGTGTGAGGTGTAGGCCAGAACCACCCAGAGCACCTGGTTGCACACGGTCTCCCACAGATGTGCCATCAAGGAGACAGGGATGAGGGCAGATAAATGACAGAAGGAGAGTCACACACAAACACCCAGGCTTCTCTCCTCAGTACAACATGGTTTCTTTTGTTCTTTTAGAACCAGCCCTTCCCTTACCATTACCCTTTCCCTTAACTCCCTCTCTTTCAAAAAAATCCCCTGTGCAGCAATGACTACGAGATCTGGAAGTTCAAGGTAAACACTGCCGTAAGAAGTCATCTCAGGTATTCAGCAAGGTGGTTTTTATGTTTTGGGGGATTTTAGTATGTGTTAAGGCCAATGTTGGGTCCTGTTGGGTGACACCAAACCACCCATCCTGCACATTCAGGCCTTTTGCTCATGCTGCTGCTGCTAAAAAGCCTGGGGTCAGGCTAACATGACTAGGGAACTTCTACTCATGCTGAGGTCAGCTCACATTTTACTTCCCCTCTTTAGCTTTTTCCCACCCTCCCCCACCAAGCTGCACAAACTGTTCCCTCCAGCACACTGTATACCTCTATAAGGAGCTTGCCACATGGTACCTTAGCTATTTGCTTACATGCTCCTGGAGGGTAGTGGGGATCCCGCCTTCACACTCAGAATCAACCAGAAAGGCTCTTGTGCCTAATGACCCAGGAGGGGCGGGCAGTGGCTGCTCCTACCTGTACAGAAAAGGTGCGACCGTGGCAGTGTTGGGATGGTTGTATTGCTGCTGGGGCTGAGGTAGCTGAACACTGACGGTATTGCTTCCTGTGGTCTGGGTGGTCCCGACCGACCCACTGACGGTCTGGCTGCTGATGCTGTGGTTCAAGGTGGTCCCACCTGGGCCTTTTCCTTCTGAGGACGCCAGGCTAGAGGAGGAACTGGAGTGTCTGCCGTCCAGCTGGGGCTTCTGCTGGGGGAGCCCCGAGCTCGGCTTCCCGCTCCGGCTCCGCTCCCCTTCCTTGGAAGGTGCTGGGGCACTTGGGGATTTCCCGGGCATGCTCTTCATTCCTGGTTTTGGTATTCCACTGTGGGAAGGGGCTGCAGCCTCCTTCTTGGCACTATTGAGCTTCCCCCCTTTGGGGATGAAGCTGGCGATCTTGGAGGACTTTTTTGGCATCTCGGTCATGGCTGCTCCACTGGGGTCTTCTTTCGGCTCTTCCTTGAGGTCCGGCCTGTCTGTCATCGAGGCTCTCTTGGTGAGGTCCTTGCTTTTCTCCTTTTCCTTTTCACGCTGCTGTTTTTCCTTCTCTTTCTCGTTGCCTTTTGGGGAGCTCTTCTTGTTGGTCAGAGCCCGGCTAAAAGTCCTCTGGGCAATGCCCTTGAGCGCAATCTTGGGGCTGCTGGCTACGGGGCCCAATGTGGAGGGGGTGCGCCCGGAAGCCTCCAGCTCCTCGCTCTCCTCAAAGCTGGGCAGAACCTCCAGCCGCTCACAGCTTGTGTCCCGGGACCTCAGGCCCTCACCCGCCTTGGATCCCCCTTTACTGTTGAAAAGTTTTAGCTTTTCCAGCATGGACTTCTGATTGTTGGGGGCTGGCTTCACGGCTTCGGGTGTGGGCCTGGGGGCCTCGGGCCCGGGCGGCTTGACTGAGAGCATGGCCGATGTGGCACTGTGCTTCACGCTGAGGGACTTGCTACGCCAGGGCTTGGAGGCCGCGCTGGGCTGCGGGATGGCCGAGGAGGCACTGCAATTAGCGGGGGTGGAGCTGCTGCCGCTCTCCAAGGAAGCAGGTGCATTTTCGTTCATTCCGAGGTGGGAGGAGGCTGAGCTTGCCAATGGCTCTGCAGAGACAGAGAAGAAAAGAACTGAGTCGCATAGGGTGACCCTTACTAAAGACCAGGGAGGGTCGGCCATAGGGACATAGCCAATCACTCCCAAATCGAATGCTGCGAAGTTCTGTTACCAGCTTTGTGGACCATCTGTGGTTAAATCGTCATGCACCATTCATGTCCCCCTCTCTGCCCCACCTGTCACAATTTGGTGGTGTGTGCTGTGCAAATGCATGCTGATCTTAACAGTAACACACACAAAGCATAATTACGAATATAATCTATGGAAAAACAAACAAAACCCCACACCACCGCTATGGTGGTGTAGGAAAGATGTAGGAATTACCTGCTGTTATTCAACACACAGCCTGATTCCCAGTTAATCAAAAGAATCAAGAATTATACAACTTGAAGAAACAATGTAGCAGAGATATTAAAATAAAACAGACCAAAAGAATAGAAAAGGAGAAACAAAGTAGAATCTTTAGAGAAGAACAATTACCCACAGAAGTTGCAAAATCCCACCGCAGCATATGAGTTATTCCTCTGTTGGCACTTTTAAAGAGTTGCAAACATGATTCAGGCTGGACTTTAAAAAAAGACTTTTTTGTTTAAGAGTATAATCTGTGTACATAGCTTCACCATAGGCAAGGAAACACACACATACGTTATCTGAAAGTCAAGGCTACCCCTTGGCACTCAGGGAGTATCTCCCTAGCCAGCCTTTTCTCAGAAAAGCCTCAAAATATTTCCAAACTAGAGCCAGAATTATTCTCGGAAGGGTGGGCTCCACGCTAGAGCTCTCCTAGCCCCCCACAGTGGCCCAGCATCACAGAAAAGAAAACTGCAGCCCGTTCTTCAGACAGTGCTCACAATGATGTAGTCCTACCTCCCAAGGAAGGTTGGCTGTTATAGAAAGTGGCAGGGAAGGCACATCGCATCTCGGCCCTGTGCCCATGCCCACCCATGCCCCACACCCAGCGTGTACAGCAGACAGATGCCCCTTCTTCCCCAAAGAGCGCATCTGCAAAGTCACGATGACATGACTTACCTAGCAGCTGCCACTTTCTCCTGCAACGATTCCCTAGGAAAATTTCTCCAACCAGAGAGGCTGCCCTTCCAATTGTCACAAGTGTTTTCAGTTAAGCTGCTCATGTTTCTAATTAACTTTTGTCATCCACAACTACTCCAGTGCCCAGAAGCCTGGTGGGATTAACGGCTGCTTCTTCTGGGTTTTTTTTTTTTTTCTTTGCTTTTTTTTAATACCTATGTTCCGCTGCCTTCTAGCAACAGAGTAAACTGTATATAGAGCGGCTTTTTATGATTTAAAAGTCAACGGCCGCTGAAGCCGAGTGAAGGCTGCCCCTGTGGGGGGCGCGTGCAAGCTACACAGCAGAGGGACTGCCTCCCTTCACTCTCAGCTGCTTGGGAAGCCGCAGCTCCAGGGTGATCCAAAGCAGACCTCCCGAAGTTTTAAAACACATACATCTTCCTGACTTACTGGGGATTTGGCTTGGAGGGGAGGGTGCTGCACAGTCCTCCCTAACAAAACTGACGGGGCGTTGCTGGATCTGTTCCTGGGGAGAGCCAGAGACTGGCGTGGAAACAGGCTCATGGAACCCACCCAAACTGCCGCCCTGTTGGAGGGTTTCCACAGGCTTGACACTGCCCATTGGGGGCCTCCTGGGCATCAGGAGGCACGGTGCATGGCACACTGTGAAGAAGGGGTTACTGCCCCTATTTTACGAGGAAACTGAGATCTGGGTAGGGCTAATGAGTGACCCTAAATCACAGAGCTAGAAATGGACAGATCTGGGATTTGAACTCGGGTCTCCTGACACAGTGCTCTTAGGGACTGCACCATAGCTGCCTCCTTTGATGAAGAATGCATGCAAACATCAGCTACTTAAATGACTAGAGTGCTTTTCAGGCATTGCCTTTTCTGTGAGCTTGTATATGTTCATGACATCCACAGTGGGACACAAATCAGCCCCGCAATTTGAAAGGAAGCAGCCTACATCACAGAGGATGGCTTTTTGGCTGAAATAATAATGACTCTCCAGTCCCGAGTACCGTTCCTCTTAGGACAACTACCTTTCCCTTTACCTGGGCTCAGACCTGAGGCAGAAGTAAAGCATTCATTCATTCATTCAATATATTCATTCATATCAATATTCAGTATTCACTGGGCATCTAATATGTGACAGACACTTTTCTAGGTACATGGGATACATTAATGACAAAACAAAGATTTCTGCCTTCATGGAATTTACATTCTAGCAAGAAGGAACAGATGATAATTAATTAAATTAATAAGTGATATCATCTGTTAGAAAATAAGTGCTAAAGAAAAGGGGGATTTGGGGACAGGTTGCAACACTGTCCTCTCAGGAACTACAAAATCCCATTCAGAGGTATGCCCTATGCCCCTCTTTCCTGAAGAAGTTTTAAGCATAGTCCCCATGTGTACATGGATCAATGTGACCTCCCTGCTTGGAACTCCTATGAAGCTTGCTCAGAAGTGGTTTTGACAAGAAACACCCTGACCTACCATTTCTTTTTAGTGGCTGGTTGGTACTGGGATCCCAATCCTTGACCTTGTTGTTACAACACTGCGTTCTAACCAACTGAGCTACCCAGCCAGCCCCCAACCTACCATTTCTATGTATTTTTAACACTAACAGTCACAGCTAGAAATTAATGAACAAGTAACTAACAACTGACCCAGAAGAAAACAGACACCTAGTTTACCTAAATGAAATATCCAGACTCACTGAAAATGTGTGTCTCCCCCTTAAAAAGGTTACAGGTGCAGGAAAAGGGCTTACTCAAACGAGGTCTGAGGGTCACTTACACAGTCACTTCTCAGGCTGTACCAGAACAGCTCCCAGGAACTCCTACTTGCCTTTCAAACCCTCGTTCAAATGCTCTTCCTGTCAAGCCATCCAAGATACTCAGCTGCCTGGTTTGCATCACATGGTATTTTTCCCTACTGTATTCTTCCCTAGGATCGTGTCTGTACCTCCCACATAAAAGGATGTTGGAGGGCCACTTACTTCATACCACACTCTGGGAACACAGTGCTGAATAAAACAAAGCTCCTGCCCTCCAGGAGCTCACTATCTAGGGATGCAACAGACCCCAAAACAAACCACAAAAAACAATGTGAAGAGCAGTAGAGGGCTGTCCAAGGTACTATGAGAACCAGAGGTGGCCTCTACTAATTCTCCCTGGGGAGTGTGGGGAAGCTCCCTGGAGGAGGTGATCCTTGAGTTATCACGTGGAGGTTCTGCTCTGGTGTGCTATTCCACTGGTCTGTGATGTCCTCCAGGGCAGACACTACCCTCCCTGATCATCTTTGCATCCCAAAGCCTGCTGGAGCAGAGAAATACTCAGTAAGTGATTTCTGAATTGTTGGTTGGTAGTTTTGACATCTGCAAGTCACGTTTATGGCAGCAGAGATGCAAAATTTGTGAAGAATCATTAAGGTTTTATTACAATTATTCAGCCTAAATGCAGGGGGGGGGGGAACAGATCAAAACTCAGAGCTTCAGAATTTCTACTTGGTATTTAGCCTGGGCTTCTCTGGTTATGGGATCATGGGACATTTCAAGGCTACTCATTACAGCTATGAAAGGTAGCACATGGATATGCTTTTGAATATGGTTTCTAGAGCAGAAGTCTTCTGAATAGGGATAGAGGGCACCAGGGCATCAGAGGATCAAATCATCAATGCTTTATGCTCATGTCAAGGCCAAAAGTCCCCTAAACAGTGAAGGGGGCTTCAGGTCATAAGTGGGCTTGTCCAGGGTAACTTTCCGTCCAGGGCTCTCATCTCTGTCATTCCCAGGGTATCACACTGGTGATCTCAGATCTTGGCTGAGTGGCTGTTTGGAGCCTGTTCCTCTTTGGAAAGAAGCTATCTCTAATGCCAGGGTCCTGTGACTCCCAGCATGAAACCTTCCTTCCCACGCTTCTGAGATAGTGAGATAAATGCAGCAGAGGTGTGGGTGCACAGGCCAAGCCCCAAGCTTTGTCACCAACTCACAGTGTGATCCTAGACAGGCTGTTTTGCCCCTCTGGGCCTCAGTCGCCCCATTTATAAGAAATGAGACGAGCCATTTCTCTAGAATCCTTTCAACTCTGTGTCTATTCAAATCTCAGTGACTCTGAGATGCTTTGTGAGGCTGGGCCATGGCCAATTTTGTCCCATGGGGCCTCCAGAGTGCAGCCCTCACTCACAAATTTCCATCATCATTCTGTGCTGTAACATACAGGGTGTTTCTTTATCTTCCAATATTCCCCCTCCACAGTTCTCTTAAGTAATGTTTACTAACAGATGGAGAAAACTGGTGGGGTCAAGGTATAGTCAACCTTGACTGAGTGAGTCACTTGTGAATTCAGAAATGCTAGTATCCTATGAAAACAAGCCTGGGGGAGAAAGGGTGGGGTGAGTTCTTTAAAATTAAGACCACTTCTCTCCCTAATACCTAACAGTGCTTGTTTCTTTTCTCATGTATATAAACTTTTGTTAGAGCAAAGGAATCTAAGAAGGAGAGAGAAGAGCTTAAAAGAATGTTCTGAACATTGGTATTCCCCAAGCAATGCTATGTGGGCCACTGAAACAGGTGAGATTGTTTTGGGTGGCACCTGGATGAATATTTTCATATTTTAAAAGTTGTTTATTTTATTGAATATTAGAAAAAGATAACTAGTCCATATGCAAAAAAAAGTTTCATGAATATTAAATGTGGACTTTAAACTTGAGTTGATTTACGGAAAATATGAAATAAATAAAAACACAAGTGGTTCACAGATTTGACAAAAATCATACAGAAGGTTAGTGAAAGCCTTAAGTTGGAGAAACACTTACATTAGACCAAGACATAGTCATTTTATATTAAATCTATTCCTTTTGGAAAATGCACCTGAAGAGAAATCACACCAGAAGGCCCAAATGAGGACTAGGTTCAAAACTAATCTGAAATGGCTACTTTCTAGAGCTTTATTTT